TGGAACTGGGTTGCAAAGCAATCAGGGAATTAGCAGAGGAGGCAGAGAAGTGCTGTTTTTGAAGGTGGCTAAGGAGGAAAGATAGGAGGTGGGGGTGCAATACTTAGGGAATCAGCAGGGGGTGGCAGCAAGAGATCTGTTCCGCCACCAAGAGATGTACTGGGGTTAAAGGAGGGAAGTGTCCATGACTCAAGCCCAGGGGTGTACAGGGTACACTTGTTTAAACCAGTCTGCAGCACTGAGATCTAACAGGACAAGAACAGATACAAATCCATTATCTTAGGCCATTAGAATATTACTAGCCACTTTCTCCAGAGCTGTTTCAGTGCTATGAGAAGCTCTAAAGCCAGACTGAAACTCTTCAAAAAGTTCATTATGGTGTAAGTGGTCGCATACTTGTTTTGCAACTACTTTCTCAAGAATTTTAGATAAGAAAGGAAGATTGGATATAGGTCTATAATTGACCAAGTCATCTAGGTCAAGAGACGGTTTCTTAAAGCACTGATGGAGGTGCATCAGGCAGAAATGCCAAGCAGGTGGAACGTCGGGCTCTATTTTCCATTCACAACCTGTTTCATTTCTGACCAAAATGTTGCAGACACTAATAACCACAATTACCCGGGGATTACAGGGTGACCTTTGAAGTCCAGGTGTGCAAAAAAGCTCAGAGGCAACACTGAGCATTTAATGTAAATGTTTAATTCTTATTTAACAGGTCTGTTCTAACTCAACATTGTCTGCTGGTTTGGGGTTTTAACAGTTTTAAGTGTTGAAGCTAATGTGACCATAGGGAACATGTGGCTGCTGTAAAGCACGGTAGGTGATGTATGATGCTGTTTGTTTCCCTTTGGAAACATTCCTACAGGGCCTGACGCATGAAAAATGAAGCAAGGCAGGAGAGGATTTTATTCAAACTGTTCTGATGTCAGTAGCTGCTAAAAAAGAAAAAAAAAACTGCCACAACTTTGAATTTACACACAATTTATTGTTGATCACATGTCTTAAAAAATTTCCTGTACTTTTATATGAGGTTACATGTTTTGGTAATGATTCTCAAGTTGCAAATATAGTTGATTATTGGCAAATGTAGATTTAAAATAAAATAATCATGAATGTCCTGAGTTATTTCCCACATTATTTTGCTTTTTCATTGATGATTTAGTTCCTCTGATTTAGAATACACTTGACTGATTATAAGTAGCGGTTAGTTGACAGAAGTTTAATTAATGGATTAGCATTTAGATGTTTAAGGCCCAGGGTTTGAAGGATCCCGGCTCACTGGCTGGAACCTGGAAACACAAAAACCAAGTTGAAAGAAAAATTTATATTTCACTCTTAAAGCTGAGGAGTTTAAGCGCGAGTTTAAACCGATAACATCATCAGCTCTACCTTCTTATTGAACGGCATGGCACAAGCTAAACATGCCCTCTCCGGGGTGGCGGGGCTATCCAGGGAAAATGGGCCGGACAGCCCGGCGTCAGAGCGAGCCGCCGCCACCGCGTCTTTGATGGCGAAGAAGACGGAGCTGCCCAGGAAGAGGGTTGGTTCTCCGATTCCCTGTGGAGCCAAAAAAAAAATTAGAGGAATGTCTGAGATTTTTGAGAAACGTTTCAAGGTCTGCCGTTGGTTCCGACCTTCGAGGAATAGATGGCGTTGGGATTGTCGGAGTCCGGCAGGAGATAGACGTTGAACCGAAGGGGCACGTCACACACCGCGGGGATCTTATACTGGGACGGACCTCGAGAGTACAGGATCCCAGTCGGTCCGAACTTCAGCTCCTCCAGGGTGTAGAGACCCAAACCCTGCGTGAACGCTCCTTCAATCTGGGGGAGAACGAGCACAGAGGAACTGAAGTTTGAGAAGTTCAACCATGAATAATTGCGAGACTCCATCAAAACAGAAGTTCTCTGTGAAGATGAGCGGGAGTCATTCTGCTGAGCGAGGCCCCACCTGGCCGATGTCCACAGACGGGTTTATGCTTCTGCCGATGTCCATCACGATGTCCGTTCTCAGCGTCTGCAAGAAACAGGACAATATAAACTATCCTCTACAATCCAGAGGACTTATCACACGGTTCCAACAATATCTAAGTCCAGACCCGGTAGTCTCCTGTGAGGCAGTCCAGCTCCACCTCGGAGCAGCACACCCCGAAGGTGTAGTACGAGTACGGTTGGCCTTCCATCTTCTCCCAGTCAATGTAATGGTCTTTCCCTCTGAGGAGGAAGAGGAAAGTTCTCACCTGATGCTTTGTTTAGGTAAGACCAGAAGCAGCAGAGTTAGACGTACCTGAAGAACCCGGTGGCTGATAGGCTGATCTTCTGCAGATGAGCCTCCTTCACCTGCCATTACATCACAGTAAACATGTTTAATGACATTCAAATCAATCCAGGAGGAACTTTCTTTGACAGCTTCTCTTTACCCAACTCTCCCAGGATCCTTTAGGGTTCTTCAGCCGGATCGGCTCCAGTCTGCGGTACAATATCTCACAGGCGTCCTATGAGAGTTAAAAACAACAAATATTAGCGAAGGTAGCCCATGTAGAGAGGAAAGACAGCAGGAACAGGGGCTCACCTTGACCGCCATGCCGTTGGCGTCGGTGCCGAAGGAAGCGGCGGAGGGACAGGTGTTTGGGACGGTACCGGTGCACGTCTCACTGATGAAGACCTTCGACGTCGGGATGTGAAGCTCCCGGCTTGCAACCTGACAGCAGACAGGATCCTGGATCACTCTGCCATCTTATTAGATTTACTTTGGAACAATTTAAGATCTTTAGTAGCAGAAAGATCTGCATTATTCCTGCTCTGGAAATGAACGTCTAAAGAAATTAAAACTAAAACCATTGGAAATAACTTACTTTTAATATCTATATTGAAAATATATACTTTTTATTGAAATATTTAATTCAAATTTTCCTCCTTTTCACTAATAAATTATGTGATATAATGTTAAACTTAATCTTATTACTATGAAAGAAAATCTGTTCTGGTTATTTATCTTTTTTTGTATTCAAATATTTAATCACATTTAAAACACTTTAACCGCTTTTTCTCCACAGATACATCAGTTTATATCAGTTGATCATATAATGGAATAAACAAATTATAAAGAAAAGGATTTTAATTCAATAATGTCTAAATATAATCACTTATAAGTAATAAATCTTTCATAAACATTCAATAAAACTTTCTTAATTTAGATTCAAAGCTGCTTTTAACACATTTATTGTTAGGATTCCTGTGTCTTCTACTTTCATTTTATGATTATAAGAGAATTCTGTAAATTTCACACATTTTTAGCTCTTTTCTATTGAACTTATCTTGTCAGGAATTGATGAATGTTTCACGCAGCAGAACCAGAACGTTTAAAGTTTTTTTTTTTCTGGTGAGGAACCTTTAATCTGATAGATTCTGCTGTTATTTAAGGATGGAAAACGTTCACCGGTCTGTTCAGTACCTGCTGCATCTTGGTGTGGACCCCCTGACCCATCTCTGTCCCGCCATGAGTCACCAGAACAGAACCGTCTTTATAGATGTGGACCAGAGCCCCAGCCTGTTAAATACATAAACAACAAAAAAAAGTTCTGATAACTGACTTGGATACAGATGGAAATGATGATCAGAGCTGAACCGAACCAACGGACCTGGTTTAAGAAGCTCTCTGCGAAGGCGATGCCGTACTTAATTGGAATGAGGGAGATTCCCCTCTTCTTCCAGCGGCTCTGTTGGTTGAACTGATCGATGGCATGCCGGCGGGCGCTGTAGTCGCTCTTGAGCTTGCAGAGCTCCCAGCAGCGCCGCAGGTTCTCCGGGCTGAACTCAAACTTGTAGTGAGTGACTGATGGTCCTTTGTACATGTTGATCTCTCGGATCTGGAGGGAATTTCACAATCAGAAAAGGAAAGTACAACCTGGTGAACATGCGAGGTAAGCAGATGAGCGCTGACCTGGTCCGCAGGGCGACCCAGCGCCATGGCTACATCATTGACCATGTTCTCCACCACCAGCAGGCTCTGCGGCACGCCGAAGCCCCTGAACGACGTGTTGGAAGGAAGGTTGGTCCTGCAGGCGGCTGAGTGGCCTCTCAGGTTGGGGATGTTGTAAGCGTTGTCCATATGAAGCAGAATCTTCTCAGAGATCTGCAAGACGGTCCGAGTAATGAATACGCTTCATATCATCAAAGGCCAGTAACCCAACGTTGACCGATTGACCCACCAGAACAGATTCGTCCACAAAGCAGCCGCTGTTGGCGTAATAGTGATAATCCACAGCCACGATCTTTCCGTCGTTCATAAAACCCACCTGAAGCAAACATCAGAATGAGATTTAGTTTTGTTTTTGTGTTTACATAATTAACTTACAATACATTTTAACTCTCTTAACTCTCCACATGCATGACAGCATTTTTGTTATTTCAGTAGAATAGTAGTTTGATAAATTTTGAACAGAAGAAGACTACAGTTCTCATCATGGCCACTAGATGGAGATAAGGAATCCTTAAAACCTTCAGGAAACAGAGAGCTCTCACTTTCTTTCTAATATGATCATTTCTCATGCTAGATCCTTCTGGATAATTACATGCTTTAGTATAATAAATAAATAAATTTTATAATTTTAATAAAGAAAAGGTATTTTTTTCTGTTTTCTGTTAGATAATCCAAGTTGCTTCTCTCATCCTGATGGAATTCATGGGCAGAAGTTCACAGCAGCTTCAACCAGGTTTTCTTTGCAATGATGATGTCATCTCATGGACTAGATGTCTTCTGATAAGTTCAGTTTGAATGTCTAAATCTTGACCCGTTTATCAAGCCTTTTTTCTTACTTTGTATTTGCCCAGAACAGGATGGCGCCCCCCTGTGATCAGCATGTCCTCTCCTCTTTCCAGGACGCAGCGAACAGGCCGGTTGGTCCTAGAAACAAAGAGAAAATGTCCTTTTTCTCATTCACGCCACCAGATTGTGACTTTTCTACCTTCTAGAGTGTCGATTATATGCTAGACTTATTATTATTATCTAAACCTATGATGAAAACCTTCCTTTTTATGAGAAAATCACTCACTTCCACGCAGCCACAGAGGTGATGGAGGCCAGGATCGAGGTTACAATCACCTTCCCTCCGAATCCTCCGCCCAGTCTTTTGACGTGACACATGACTCTGTTAGACTGAACGTCCAATGTTTCTGCTACTGCTTCCTGCAACCACAAAAACATCTCCTCTAAGCCTTTGTCTCAGTTAGCAGGACATCCTTTGATCCCTTCCCCGTGTACCTGAACAAGTGTGGGCCACTGGGTGGAGACGTAGACCTTGAACTCCGTCTCCTCGCCAACGGGAACAACCAACATGCTCTGAGTCTCCATGTAGAAATGCTCCTGTCCTCCCATATGAATCTTTCCTGAAGGAGAAAAATGCAAACGGAGAGCAATGAGACGAGCTCTGCCATCTATGCTGATGTTCATCTGTAGACATCTACCTTCATAAACTTGATCAGCACTCTTTAAAGCTTCAGTCACGTCTCCTTTGAAAAGTACGCGCCGCGGCTCAAAGTAAGACGACTTCTCGATGGCGTCCTGGGAGAAACATTTGACGGCATAACGAACTGGGAGTGAACACCAGTAATTAAACATCTATTCAGGTGAAGCAGGTGGACTCACCTCGATGGTGAAAATGGGGTCCGGTAAGTCTTCATAAGTGATCTTCACAGCAGCTGCTCCTCGTTTAGCGTGAGCTTTCGTGTCGGCAAGCACCCCACACACCGTCTGACCCACACAGTACACCTGAACAAAACGCCAAACACTTTACACCTCATTTAGGATTTTAATAACCTTCACTAAACGTAGGGAGTTCTGATATCAAACATCTTTGTCGTTCCTATTTCGTGTTTGACCACTAGATGGCAATATTTATTAAACACGACTCCTTTAAACTTTAAGCGACTTTATAGAGACATCAAAACAACCATGTTTACTTCAAATTAATACTTAATTTTATACTTTTCCTAAGTCAAATTTCCAGAACCCCGTTTTAGAATTTTATTACAAATGCCTTAAGAGCCAATTATATAAATAAATAATTATTTTGAGCTTGTAATCTTATAATGTTATTCCTTCATGACAATCATGTCTAAAGTGGTATTTTACCTTGTTCATATATTTCAGAGTAATTCTTGTTAGTTCTATGAGTCTGAAAACAATAATTTAGAAAATATCTGTGTCAACAGGCTCCCTCCAGGAAGCAGCTACTTTAACCATATGCTGTGCCGGCGCTGTAAACTAACAGCCACTTCCTCTGATCGGGGAGAGACGATGAGGCAGAACTATGATTCAAAGTCAAACTGTCAGGACTCCTGTCTGTGTGTCTGTGTTTTCTGTGTTTGTCTCCCTTCATCCACCAGGAGGCGCCTGGTTCTTGTCCGCCTCCTCACACACCTGCTGATGGTTTCCTCGTTAAACGGAACGTTCTTAAGCTGCTGACTGCCACTACTTCGACGCCAGTGTTTGCCAGTTTAGGGTACTCTAGCCAAGCTGAGTTTGCTGAGTCAAGCTGAGTTTTTGTCAACCTGAGTTTAACTTTGTTTTGTCTTTGCCTCTTGGCAGGAAGTTGTCCTGCTAACTGGATCTCTCGGACCTTCTCTCCCTGGAAGGATCAACTGAGCTTCAAACTGAGCTGGGGTTCAAACAGGAGGTTTGGATCCACTTTCCCCTATAGATCGTTTGAGCTTTCCACTGAGAACGGGATTATTCACCACTACGACCCGTTCAAATACCGCAGGAAATCTGAGTGGCAGTCAGTTTCTCCGTTCTTCAACTATCAACCGCTTTTTGGGTAAAACCTGTTCCGCCCTCCACCGAATCAGACCAACACTGGAACCACGGCACACAGTCAGCAGTCAAGAACACAACAACTTCACTGGAAACGTGAGTCGGCAACCAAACCTCTTCTCCAGGCTTCACGAGTCAAATTCCCCACTGAGCCTGAACTAACCGCTTTGTCTTCCCCTCACTTTGCAGTTCCGGTTGAGCAGTGTTTAGAGCAACACTTCTCCTCCAGTTTTACTTCTTCAATAAAACCTGTTAAACCTTTTCTCTGAACTCTCTGTTCGGTTTTCTGCATTTTGGGTCAGAACTTTGTTACATCATGACAGAAAGTTTAGATTAATTGGGCTTTTTTAGGAGATAATCAGCAGAGAGCAGCAACTTTTCTTGTTTAGCCAATGTCTAAGTTGTGAAAATCAGTTTTTTTACTGTCAGACATCTCTGACTTTCTTTAGCATTCAGAAATAGTATGATCTGGAGCGTCAGGTGAGGCAGCTTTGCTTTTAATGGCAAATGTTATTCTTAGTGTTAAAACAGGAGTTCTAAGGGTATTATTTGATCATACGTTTACTTATAAGCAGTGGTGAATGAGGTACTCAACTGTAGTACTTGAGTAAAAGTATTGATACTCATAGTCAAATCTTACTCAACTTCAAGTAAAATCTTCTTAGTCAATAATCTACTCAAGTTAAAGCATTAAAGTTCTCACTTTTAAAAATACTTAAGTATTCAAAAGTACTCATGTATTCAAAAATACAAATAAAATGATCTAATATCAGTACATTTCTGTTTAATATTCAGAGTAATTTTAAAGAACCTTGTAACTTTCAGAAACCAGCTGATGTATTAATGCATAGCACCGCCTACAGATTGTAAGGACAGCTTTTCTTATATCTTATTCAAAACAAACCAAAAAATAACAGGAGATTTTCCTCCCTCCTTACTGTGGAATAGAGGTGTAAGATAGAATGTATTACCACAAAGAAGCTAAAACTTTGATTTGAGAAATAAATATAAAACGGCGTAATAACATTATAAACTACCAATAATAGCTGCCCTGAGTTTCTCATATTTGTTGAACATCACGTAAATCTCTAAAACAGGAGCGTCCAGATTCAGTTCAAAAGGCTGTTATCTGCTAGCCTGGGTGCCATTCCGAACTTAGTCCCGCCCACAACGTTTGAGGTCGGGAAGTATATTCTGACTATAATTGAGTACGACTGCTTCAGGCTAGGTTATCTGCCATGTTGAAAGTACAACAACAACAGCGGATTAAAAAGCTGAGCTGATCCCAAAGTAATGAGTAAAAGTAATGAGTAACTAGCAGTTTCCTGGAAATGGAGTAAAGTAGAAAGTACAAATATTTGACTTTGAAATGTTGTGGAGCAAATGTTTTTAAGTCGCCCCCAAAGAATGAATCGAGCAAACTAAAGATATTCTAAAAAAGTACTTAAGTACAGTAATCAAGTAAACATACTTTGTTATTATCCACCACTGCTTATAGGAAACTGTGCAAGGCTTGAAAAAGCATGATGCAGGACATTTAATGACTAGAGTTCTGTGTCAATATAAAGCTTTTTTCCAACTGAAAATAGCAGGTTAACGGGTGTTTTTTCAAACACGAATCGACCCGCTATCAGTCAGTTTCTGACTCCTTTCCCACTGGCTAAAAAAGCCGTGTCTGACCCCTCCCTGCCAAGCTTCATGGCCTCTGTTTCCCTGCACCTGCTTTTTTTGGTGACATCATCACGGTAAAAAAAAAAAAAAAAAAAATCTAAATCAGGAAAGTAAACAATGGAGAGCAACATGTAAGGAAGCAAACCAGAGCCAAGGCCATTTTAACGCGGGTCACTTGCCGACTCATCTGACCCGGGTAGACACAGTGAGCTGCTCCCACTGCCACTAAAAGCTGACTGTTCCTGGGTTGAAACGGGTTATTTGGCGAGTGGGAAATGTTTAAAAATAAATAATAAAGCAGAAAACAGATCCATCCATGGATCTCTTCCTGAAATGGCTGCCTACATACCTGGCCCTCGGCGAACAGCTCCTGCTCATAGCCAAACATTTCGCGGGTTTTCTTCCCAGGGACATCTTGGGCTGTGATCACATCGAAAACACCAGGAAGCTTCAAGGCTTCGCTCACATCCAGCCCTCTGTTGGAAACATTATTAAAAAGTTTAATTAGGAGGCGTTAAAACAGGCTGGAAGCTTTTGAGCACATATGTCAAAGTCGAGGCCAGCAGGTCGGATCCGGCCCATTAATTGTTTATCCACGGCCCCTTGGAGGATATTTAATGACCATTAAAACCGGCCCACAGGCCATGGCTGCATGTGCACACTGCTGTGACTTTCCGTTGCATTGTGGGGAATGTAGTGTTGGTGTGGTTGTGTTGCACGCACCAACACTACATTACCAGGGGAGAACATGATTGTGATTTTCTTTTATTTAATTTTTTTTTTTTGTTGTGCTTTGGATG